TACTGAACAATTTCATCACAGATGAAGACATGACTTGAGGCAGCAGAGATGCAATTTTGCAGAAGGATGCCGCAAATACAATGAATGGAGGATGCAAGCAACATAAGTTTTCAGGACAATGGAAATGAAAAGGACACATACTTAGAATCAGAGCTTGACTGTTGAAATTTTTGTGACATGTAATGGGGAAAGAAGGCATTGAAAATTTGATACTCATGATATAGGGAAGACAAAGGAACACAGTGAGTAACCTACGTAATGAGTTTGTGTAAATGGATGACGAAACAGGGAATGGGAAGGATAATAAAAAGACAAGCATTAATAAGAAATATGAAGTATAAGAAGTTGTGGAGGGATATGATCTCCCACATCCACATAAAAGGAGAATTCTTATTCAGTGACAAGATTTTTATTTTCAAGTTCTTGTCTTTTGAAATCTTAGGTGACAAATTCCTGACACAAATTTTATATTTAAATTAAATAAAACATTAATAAGCACTATGAAAGATAGGAAGTTGTGGAGGGCTATGATCACCCACATCCACATAGAGAATGTTTATTCAGAGACAAAATTTTTATTTTTAATTTCTTATCTTTTGAAATCAAATGTAAGAAACTACTGACTCAAATTTTATATTTAAATTAAATAAAACATTAATAAGCACTATGAAATTAGGATGTTGTGAAGGGCTATGATCATCCATATCCACATAGAAGAAAAATTCTTACTCAGAGACAAGTCTTTTATTTTCACATTCTTGTCTTTTGAAATCTAATGTGACAAACTCCTGACTGAAATCTTATATTTAAATGCAAAAAAAGTTAACTGTTTTAAACGTGTTTTTTTTTGTTTTGTTTGTGTGTGGCGTATTTCATCTTCAGAGGCATTGTCTATTGTTGTTGGCGTGGGAGTTTCCCAATTTTTTTTCTCTAATCCCTTTGTCACGATGACAGTTCCAATCATGACATTCAAGAATTGCAATTTTTGTTTATTTCCATGTCTAAACTTTTGTTCTTGGAGATTTTATTTGTTGGTTCTCTGAAATACGTTATTGTCTGCAAAGAAAGCATTGTCTTGTATACAAGATGTTTTATGTTTGCAGGTTTGGCTTCAATTCCAAGACATCCTATACAACTGAATAATATCTTTTTTATGCATTTTGGTTTGCATTTTTTTAAATAAAGTTTGTTATCTCAACTAATTTCAGGTGAATCCTTAGATGACAAACATAACATTTATAAGGAACTAACATATGTCACTGCAATGAAGCTCTCCTGACCTGTGAAATCAAAACCCTTTATCACTTCGATATGTCATTCACACAGCAGTACAATATTGTCAAATGAATTAAACAATAATGGCTTGCTAAGTTTCTGTCTTGATTTCTGGATGAAGAATTCTCATTATTTACAGCAGTGATTCCTCGTGTGCTTTGGAAAGATCCAGTAGGGTGGTGAGAAAAAAAGTGGGTAACTGGAGATTAGCAGTGGCACATGCGAACCATAACATGCACTGCACACACATTGTACCTGACGTATATCTTGCCTTCACTTGACAGTGTATCCCATTTATATAACAAATGTTATGGGAAATACTAAGATATGCATTTGACATGCAATATGGACACCAAGAAAATCCAATCATAGATTCATTATACCTTGGGGATGAGGTTCTTAAGATTGTGTCTATACATTAATAGTTGCTACGTTTAATGTAGGAAAGTTGCATGAAAATGTCATAACTGTTATGGCATATGTGTAATTATATAATACTACAAGGTGCCCAGTAAAAACATGGTAAATTCAGAAAGAAATTTATTTAGCTATCATAATTCATGCACAAATAGAACTGTCATCATAGATGTTCAAAATGTTTGCCTGAATTTTCAACACAAAGTTGTAAGTAATTAGGAGGCAGTAGCTTTGTGGATAGGGTCAAGAGGAATTTCATTCCAAGCTTTATTTATGTTCCCCTTCAATAAATCAATATGGATGATGTCACAACAATGGTTTTGCAAGTAAGTTAGAAGTATACTCCAGACAATCTACAACATTCAGATCTGGGCTTTTAAAGGCTCACTTAGATAGACCAATTTTCTTGAAGAATAAATTTGCAGCTTTTTCACTGGGAAAGCTATGTCCCATTATCTATCCCATTATAGCTGCTACATATAAGAAAAGTTCATGAAAATGTTGCCTCTCTCTGTCTTTTTTACAAATACTTTCATGGTAATTGCTCCAATGAGCTGCTTTCACTGGTTCCCAGACTTCATGAATTCAAGCACCCTACGAGGCTGGCATCCTGTCCCCACCCTTTCACTGTAGAAACTTTTAAATGTAGCCGTCTCTTCTACTTTAATAGCTTCATATCTCGCACCTCTCGCCTGTGTAACACCCTTCCCTATTACTGTTTCCTTGGGAGCTATAATCTCCAACTATTCAAAGGTAATGTCAATCGACATCTCCAGTTGCCTTGATCTATCCACTATCCTTCTCCTCATCCTTTCTTCTATCACTCCTATCTGCTCTCGCTCCAAATCTTCTGCAACCCCCTGCATCCTAGTGGCTTCCTGCCTTGCTTAAAAAAAAAAAAAAAACTATTATGGGATATGTGTGATTAAATAATGCTACTTCAGTCAATAATATTTAATACATTTACTTGATGAAATACATATGCAAAAGTAGCAAGTATTATGGTGTAGAGATTTAATATTTTTTTTAGTTTTTAGACTATCTATTTTTGGCTATTTGCCAAAATACAGCAGTTTAGATTGGTGTAGCATCCAACAATAACTAAACTTCCTACACATAGACACATATTTCATGAAAATAACTTGGTTTCTTATTAATGCGAGGTTAACAATGACTTCTTGAACAATGCAGTCTCTTGCTGCCATCATTTCTGAGAAGACAAAATTTCTGTTCTCAGCAACAATCCAAGTTGCAAGCTATGAATTGTAATTATCAAAATCAGACCAGTACAGGAGCTCATATATCTGGGAAATGTTTTAACAGAAGACAAAACAATGCCACCAAAATCTGGAATAGTGAGTGCTTCCCAAAGATTAAACAAAATATTAAGGAATAGGCAAACATTATTAGAAACAAAGAAAAGGGTGTTGAACTGCTATGTAATGTCAGTCTTCTTATTTGACAGTGAATGTGGTAAAAATCTTCACAGATGAAGAGGCAAATTAAGGCAGCCGAGATATTGTTCTACAGAAGGATTTTGAGGATATGATGTTTTGTGATGCCAACAAACACTCGTTGTCACTTTTGTGATGCCAACAAATACTTGTTGTCACTTTTGTGATGCTCATTGTAGTAGAGAGTTCTTAATCGGAGATACAACTATAGTACACCATTGAACAATACTGGTGTAAACGCCTTCAAATAGCACTCGTGCTAAGAGTACTTGCATGATAATATTTGCTCAGGACTAACCACAGAATAGAGAAATAGTATAGTAGAGTAGAGAATAGCAGTCTGTATAGTAATAGAGGCTAGAGTAGAAATAGCGATCTGAATAGTATAAAGGATAGACTAGAAATGACGATCCGAATTGTAATAGAGGATAGACTAGAAATGACGATCCGAATAGTATAGAGGATAGACTAGAAATGACGATCTGAATAGTATAGAGGATACACTAGAATGATAATAATTATTCGTCAGCTACTTCCTACATATATGTGTTTCCTCTATAGTCATGTAGTCTAATTAATTCAATAATGGGATTGCCTGTGTTTGCTCACTGGCGATCTATGTTGAAACTCAAGTGTTAGCAGTGACACTTTATTCATATATAGCATGATGAATGGTATATGCGAGCAACAAGGAAGTTTTAAGAAAAATGAAACAAAACAGACAATTATACAAGAAATCAGAAAGTGACAGTTGAAATTTCTAGGACACATAATAAAGAAAGATGGCTTGGAAAATGTAACACTCACAAGACATATTTAATAGAAAAGGAACAGGGGACAGCAGTGAGTTACCTACCTAACGAGCTTGTATAAATGGATAGCAGAACAAAAAATGGCATAGTAAAAATATGAATGTTGCCAAACATTACAAAGGAGGGGAAATTGTGGAGAGCCACATCACCCATACCCTGAAGAGACACATCACCTAGAAGATGATTAGCATAAAATGGTAATAAAATCATATGTTGGTTTAAAAAACAAAGTATGAACAGGCATTTTGGCACAAAACAGTAAAAGTAGAAAATGGCTTCTACAATGCAAGCTATAGAATCTCACTGGATAGTAAGGGACGATGTCTATGAAAATAAAGTTGTTCTTCATAACCAATATTTATGCCTTTTCATTCATTGATATCTCAAAAAATTTCCTGGAGAACCGTAAAATAAAGACTAGCTCCACAGGTGATGGGTTTTCTTTTAATTGAACATTGACGCAAGAAAACCCAGGAATGTGATGTCATTTATAATGTGGAAAGCACAGAGACATAATTTAGAGGAACAAAGAAGAAAAATAAAAGATAGGGAGAAAAAGATGAAAAGAACAAAGAAAGAAATGAATCAGAATTAAAGATGGATGAAATGATGAAAGAATGAAGAATTGGAAGGAAAAATGAAAGAAAGAAAAATAAATGAGAAATAGAGAAGAAAAAAAAAAGAAAGATATAAGAAAAGATGGAAGAAAAGAAAGAATCAATAAACGTGGAGTAAGAGAAGAAAAAGAAGAAAATATAGAAAGAAAGATGAAAGGAAAGAAAGATCCATTAAATGAGGAGTAACAAAGGAATGAAAAGAAAAGATAAAAGGAAAGAAAGAAGCCTTGAACAAGGAGTAAAGAAAGGAAAAGCCACAAACAAGTTATTAGGGAAGTTAATAGAAGCAGAAAAAAAGAAAGAAAGGAAGAAAGAATCAATAAATGTGGAATAAGAAAGAAAAAGAAAAAGGAAAGAAACAAAGCCATGAAGGATGAATAAAGAAGGAAAGAGAAGATAGAAGGAAAAATGAAAGGAAAAAAGAACTAATAAATGCAGGGTAAGGAAAGAAAGGAAAGATGGAAGGAAAGAAAGATGCAATAAATAAGCAAGAAGTAAGGAAGGAAAAAGAAGAAAGCAAAGAAAGAAAAGCTATTGACAAGTATTAAGGAAGAAAAGAGAAGAAAAGACAAAAGGAAAAAAGAAGAAATAAATAAATGAGCGGTTAGAAAGGAAAGAAAAGAAAAGATAGAAGGAAAGATGGAAGAAAAGAAAGAATCAATAAATGAGGAGGAATGAAGGAAAGAGAAGAAAAGAAAGAAGGAAGGAAGGAAAGCAAGAAATAAATAAAGACTCAACAAATAAAAAGTAAGCATCATATATCTGTTTAAAGACTACTTATCAATCAACTCTCGTAATTTTGAAGAAAAACAAATTTGCTTCCTTTTAATACTAGTTTCATTATCGTATCTGGTCTAATATTGATTTTATAGGATTGAAGTCCTTAGTTATCAATCAGCCCCTCTACGTACAGAAAAGGATGCAGTTAATTTCAAAAGTAGGAAGAGAATTACTCTAGGAAAAGTTTGAAATTGGAGTTTATGCCCAGACTATGTCTTGCTAGCCAAAGATCACTGATGATTGCAGCTGATGGTTAGGAAAAAAAGGATGACTGAAAGTGTTGAAATTTTGAATCAGTGACAAGGTCTTACAAGCAAAAATTCTCATTAGTCAGTCTGTCCTGCAGTCAGTAACACATTTTTCCAAATTCTATTGTATTTGAAGGTGAGAAAGACAAAGATATGACAAGTTCTACTGGAATTTAGCCTAAGATTCTTGAACAGATGGTGGTTATGACAGGAAGAGCCTGGAAGAAATGAAGAAAAGAAGGAAACTAAGACAGAGAAGTAAATAAAAAATGTGACAAGAAAGAAAGAAAAAAGGAATAAGGAAGGAAAAAAGGAGTAAAGATAGAAGGAAAGATGGAAGTAGGGAAAGAAAGAAGCCATGAGCAAGGAGTAAGGACAGAAAGAAAAGTAAAGAGAGAAGGAAAGATAGAAGGAAAGAAAGAAGCAATAAATGAAGAGTAAGAAAAGAAAGAGAAGAAAATATCGAAGGAAAGCTGAGAAATTAGAAAGAATCAATAAAAGAGGAGGAAAAGGTAAGAGAATAAAAGATAGAAAGAAATATGAAAGGAAACAAAGAATCAATAAATGAAGAGTAAGAAAGAAAAAATAAGAAAATATAGAAGGAAAGATGAATGGAAAGAAAGAATCAATAAATGAATGATAAGGAAGAAAGGAAAAGAAAAGATAGAAAGAGATGAAAGGAAAAAAGAATCAGTAAATGAGAAAAAAGAAAGGCAAATGAAGAAAATATAGAAGGAAATACAAAAGGAATGAAGGACTCAATAAAGCAGGAGTAAAAAAGAAAGAGAGCAAAAAAAGAAAGAAAGTTGAAAGGAAAGAAAGAATCAATAAATAAGGAGCAAAAAAGGAAAGAGAAGGAAATATAGAAGGAAAGAAAGAATCAATAAAGCAGGAGTAACAAAGAAAATAGGAAAAAGAGACAAAGATGAAAGGAAAGAAAGAATCAGTAAATGAGAAACAAGAAAGGAAAGAGAAGGAAATATAGAAGGAAAGAAAGAATCAATAAAGCAGGAATAAAAAAAGAAAGAGAGGAAAAAAAAGAAAGAAAAATGAAAAGAAAGAAAGAATCAATAAATGAGGAACAAGAAAGGAAAAAGAAGGAAATATAGAAGGAAAGAAAGAATCAATAAAGCAGGAGTAAAAAAAGAAAGAGAGGAAAAAAAAGAAAGAAAGATGAAAGGAAAGAAAAGATCAATAAATGAGGAACAAGAAAGGAAAGAGAAGGAAATATAGAAGGAAAGCCAGAATCAATAAAGCAGGAGTAAAAAAAAGAAAGAGATGAAAAAAAGAAAGAAAGATGAAAGGAAAGAAAAGATCAATAAATAAGGAACAAGAAAGGAAAGAGAAGGAAATATAGAAGGAAAGAAAGAATCAATAAAGCAGGCGTTAAAAAAAGAAAGAGATGAAAAAAAGAAAGAAAGATGAAAGGAAAGAAAAGATCAATAAATGAGGAGTAAGAAAGGAAAGAAAAGATATAAGAGAAAATAAGAGGCTCATAAACAAAGAAACATTTTTTTAAGAATTAAAAATCACACAGATATTTTTTTTAAATTTGAAAATGAAGGAAAGAAAAAAGAATGAAGAAGGAAAAGATTGACAGAAAAAAAAAATGAATGAATGAGAAAAAAAATAAGATGAACAATTTTCTAAAGTAGAAGAAGTTTGGTTTCATTTGATATGTTTAACTTGACTCCTTCCTGGATATATATGCCACCAAATATGGAATTAAAGAACAGCTAAAAGTATAAAATTAATAATACAGCTGGATAGACCAAAGAGAATCAAGTAACAAGGAAATATGATGATAGTATACAAGATTTCTTTTTATTAACATGAGACCACCACCCCTATACACACATACATACATATATTATTATATATCATATATTGTGGGAAGAGTAGTCAATATGCATGGCGACTGTCAATTTCCTGCTTTATGCATTTGATGATTGCTGAAAGTATAAAACTGAAAATAACTATGCTATGTTTATTTCTCTGTTCACAAAGTTCATATCTATCTATCTATCTATCTATCTATCTTTGTTTTCATATCTATCTTTGTCTTCATATCTATCTATCTATCTATCTATCTTTGTCTTCATATCTATCTATCTATCTATCTTTGTCTTCATATCTATCTTTGTCTTCATATCTATCTATCTATCTATCTATCTTTGTCTTCATATCTATCTATCTATCTATCTATCTTTGTCTTCATATCTATCTATCTATCTATCTATCTTTGTCTTCATATCTATCTTTGTCTTCATATCTATCTATCTATCTATCTTTGTCTTCATATCTATCTATCTATCTATCTATCTTTGTCTTCATATCTATCTATCTATCTATCTATCTTTGTCTTCATATCTATCTATCTATCTATCTATCTATCTTTGTTTTCATATCTATCTTTGTCTTCATATCTATCTATCTATCTATCTATCTTTGTCTTCATATCTATCTATCTATCTATCTATCTTTGTCTTCATATCTATCTATCTATCTATCTATCTTTGTCTTCATATCTATCTTTGTCTTCATATCTATCTATCTATCTATCTATCTTTGTCTTCATATCTATCTATCTATCTATCTATCTTTGTCTTCATATCTATCTATGTCTTCATATCTATCTTTGTCTTCATATCTATCTATCTATCTATCTATCTTTGTCTTCATATCTATCTATGTTTTCATATCTATCTTTGTCTTCATATCTATCTATCTATCTATCTATCTATCTTTGTCTTCATATCTATCTATCTATCTATCTATCTTTGTCTTCATATCTATCTATGTCTTCATATCTATCTTTGTCTTCATATCTATCTATCTATCTATCTATCTTTGTCTTCATATCTATCTATGTTTTCATATCTATCTTTGTCTTCATATCTATCTATCTATCTATCTATCTATCTATCTTTGTCTTCATATCTATCTATCTATCTATCTATCTTTGTCTTCATATCTATCTATGTCTTCATATCTATCTTTGTCTTCATATCTATCTATCTATCTATCTATCTATCTATCTATCTATCTACCTTTTCATTTTCCAATCTAGCTAGCTCAATCCTTTTTCATGTATCTATCGTTATATCTGACTCTCTCTCAGTCTGTCTATCGATCAATCTATTTGCGTCTTTTTCATATCTATCTATCTATCTATCTATCTATCTATCTATCTATCTATCTATCTATCTCCTTTTCATTTTCCAATCTAGCTAGCTCAATCCTTTTCATTTATCTATCGTTATATCTGACTCTCTCTCAGTCTGTCTATCGATCAATCTATTTGCGTCTTTTTCATATCTATCTATCTATCTATCTATCTATCTATCTATCTATCTATCTATCTCCCTTTTCATTTTCCAATCTAACTAGCTCAATCCTTTTTCATGTATCTATCGTTATATCTGACTCTCTCTCAGTCTGTCTATCGATCAATCTATTGGCGTCTTTTTCATATCTATCTATCTATCTATCTATCTATCTATCTATCTATCTATCTATCTATCCATCTATCTATCTATCTATCTATCTATCTATCTATCTATCTTTCATCACCTGTTCAAATCTATCTATCTCAGTCTGTTCATATATATATATATATATATAACTATCTACCAATCTATCTCTGTTCATATCTATCTATCTATCTACCTATGTTATATTCTTCATTATCTATCATAACCTCTTCAAATATATCTGTTTATCTATATATCTATCATAGACCATTCAAATCTATCTATCTATCTATCTATCTATCTATCTATCTATCTATCTATCATAGTCTGTTCAAATCTATCTATCTATCTATTTATCATAGTCTGTTCAAATCTATCTAGCTGTCTATTTATCTATCACAGCCTGTTGAAATCTATCTATCTATCTATCTATCTATCTATCTATCACAACCTGTTGAAATCTATCTGTTTACCACATTCTATCTATCTACCACATTTTATCTATCTCTCTACCACATTCTATCTATCTCTCTATCATCATCTGTTCAAATCTATCTATCTATCTATCTATTTATCTATCTATCTATCTATAACCATCTGTTCAAATCTATCTATCTATAAAACCATTCTGGTAGAAACCATAGTTTCATAAAGGTCAGTGTCTCAAACATTTTATATCCTATATTTATATATATGTGTGTGTGTGTGCACACATATGTGTGTATGTTTGTGTGTGTTTGTGTGAGAGCATAAGGAACAAAAAGAATTTCTCAGGCCAACATACATGATCATAAAAATATTTTTAAAATTATATGTAAACTCTTAATGCAGAACCTTTAAATATTTAAAATAAATACACTATACATATATATATATATACTAGCAGCATGGCCCAGCGTTGCCTGGGCTTGATTCAAAAATCGTACGACTCATACAGCAATCGCTATCACTTGACTTAAAATATTTTTGCCCTTCCTTGCCTTTAAAGGAGTGCCCTTTGCCGTGCTGATGTTGCTACATGCCTTACTTCTTGGCTATCTCACACTGCGAATTTTTTCTAAGCTCTATACTAAACATTAAATCTGTTACAAAAAAAGAACTAAACAAAATGAACACAAAACGATCAGCTTTAAAAAAAAAGGACTCGTAACTGGAAAAACTGAATGAAAGAAGAATGTTAAAAACAAATACTTTTTCACACCCAACTCAGTCCTGCGGAATCAGAATCAACGTTGAGTTTAAGCAAGCAAATGAGCCAATTGGAGTAAAGTGCCATGCAGATTTAAATTTTTCCCACTTGTGATGAATGCAGCTATCAATTTTTTTGCATGCTAGCATGCTAGTTAACATTCGTGTCAGTCAGCTGTTGGCTCTCACATTGGCCAATAGAATCTTCCTGCCTATTCAAGGCAGCCAGCTATAGGCTCTCATTCTGGCCAGTACAAAATGGCCACAAACTACATGAAAACTGCCGTAGAAGTGTGAAATGGGAGTTGGGAAATGCAAAGTCGATCTTGGCCTTCCCACTAACTTGGAGCATGTGCATGTAAATTTTGGTGCAAATCTGTTGAAAATTGCAGCCGTGCATTCGTTACACACACACACATCCTGCCTTTTATATATATATATATATATATATATATATATATATATATATATAAGCTATCAAGAATCTATGTGATATAGTCAGCTAGAGAGGTCTTATTCTATATGCCATATCCCTTCAGGATGTTGGTGATCATGGCTCTCCACAATTTTCTGACCTTTGTAGCACTTACTAAATTTTATTATCTTTCCTAAACCCTCTTCTGCCAATCATTTAGTCAGGCTCACTAGCTAGGTTACACTTTGTTTACATCTGTCCCTCTTTCCTTCCATCTGTTCTGCGAAAGTCAAATCTTTCCTTATTATATGCCTTAAAAATTTCACCTATCTCTTCCTGATGTTAATTATAGGTGTTCCTTTTAGTTTCCATTTATCCTAAAACTTTGCCATTGCTCACATATTCAGTCCACATGTTTTATTTGTTTCTAATGAAATTTACCTGTTTCTTAATACATTGCTTAGTTTTTAGAAGGCATCTTTCACTGCCCCACTTTGCCTTTGGATTTCAGTGTCACAATTTTCCATGCTCTGGTAAAACTTATCCCAGATATTTAAATTGGTGTACTTGCTTGATAACGGTATCGTTGGTTTGCAATTTGCATTTTGGGCTGTTCTTTTTGCTGAAAACTATGAATTCTGTCTTCTTAAAAGATGTTTAGTCCTTTCTTCTTGCTTTCATTTGCTAACTTCCATAGGAGTTCTTCTAGTTTCTTTTCTGTACCTCCTATCAACATTGTGTCATCTGCATATCTTAAAATTGTGGCTGCCAATAATAAATCCCGGTAGAACTTCTACTTCTCTAAGAATCACATCACTGTATAGGTGGAATAAGTCTGGTGAGAAGACACATCCTTGTCTTACAACCCTATTTTTCTATATTTACTGAACTCATTTTCTATCTGTATGCAGACAGATTGCTGCCAGTTCGGAATATATTTGTTTTTTTTTTCTCTCCTCATCTCTCTTTCTTTCTCTGTCTCTCTCTCTGTCTCTCTCTCTCTCTATCTCTATCTATCTATCTATCTATCTATCTATCTATCTATCTATCTATCTATCTGTATACATATGTATTGTGTCTTTCACTTTTCATTGCTGTACAGATTGAATAAGTCTGGTGAGAAGATACATCCTTGTCTTAAACCGCTTTCTATTTTTGTATATGTACCGATAGAAAATTGTCTAACAAGCAAGAGAATATATGACCGATATAGCCTGTTAGTGACATACAGGTATAACAAATTATCTAATGAGAGTTACAGTTATAATTAGCTACCTTTTTTTTCTTTTTTTTAACAGTAATGTTTGCATTGTAAAAGGCCTGCGAGCCACTCAAGGTAGAGGGTTACAGTTAGGGATTAGTTTATATGGATAAGAAAGGAAGATTATCTCTATATTTGAACAGGTTAAGGTTGTAGTGATCAGGGAAACATTGTCTAGGGAGTCATTTCCACAGAGCAAGCTGTTTGCCCAAAGAACCTGTTGAAGTGGAATTTACTTCTCATGGAATACAGAGGGAATGTGGATGGTTTGCTACAATGTAAGTGGCATGGCAGGTCCTAGATATGAAGGTTAGACCCGGCAGAACCAAGACATGTAACTTGTTTGAGCACTTTCCATGGAAGTAGTGACAGAGCAGTGAGAGGATTATCACATCCCACCTGTAAGAGAGAGATTGGAGGATGGAAAATAATTTTTCTCCCACAAGGACGAGTAGACACTTTCAAACTCTATCGAGACTGGAAAGTGAGGACTGGGC